GCTGTTTTCATTTTCCCAGTGGAAACATTTCACTTTAAGATAAGTTACAAGGAAAAAACAACATATGATAAGGAGTAAGAGTTCAGGCTGGGAAGTCAGCCTGGCTGTGTCCTGATGGCTAACTTGCTACTTACCACTGTGTGATCTCAGTCAATTGAACTAACTTTTCTGTGCTTATGATGTCTTCACAGATGGTGGAGGATACAAATTAGTGTTTTCTTCAGCTGTAAAATCTGTACTGGTCTCTCACTAGACCTGCAGCAAAACTGTATCTCTCTTCACTACTGTTCGAGGTTGGAGATACTGCCTCCAGATCCTACATCTCCCTCTAGTTTGCTTTTTACACCCTCATCTTGCAGGAGTGTGTTCTCAAATGACCTTCTTAAAAAGATGTGTAGACCTGAAACTAATGTAATATTGTATGTCAACTATAATCGAAAAAAATGTGTTAATTATTTTTTCAACGTATGGAAGTAAGCATCGCACCTGTCTGCAAATGTCTTTTCTTCTGCCTTTAAAATTCACAATTACTTTTGCTAGTTATACAATCCTAGTGGAAAGTCACTTTATGCATTCATTTGTTGCTTCTTGCCCTGACTGGGGATCAAACCCACAACCTTTAACCAATTGAGCTACTGGGCCATCCTGGATTATTCTAAGTGTTATTTTTTTATTGATCATTTCATATATATCTTTTTCTTTTATTTTTCCTCTAATCTTATCCTCCAATTTTTTAATTAGATTTTTCTTCTTATTTAATTTATGTAGAGTCTTTATAAATATCTCTAGAGGATACAAATTCACTTCATTCAAGCTCCTTATTTACCCAGAATTATCTCTTGTATTCCTTTTGGTCATTTCTCTATTTCACAGTGTTTCTTTTTCCTATATCATAATTCTCTCAAATACCTACTCACTGCGGGGATTGGCAAAACTGACCATTAATTCAGTGTACACCAGCAGGCATGGTTGACTATTGGGCTCCATTTCAGGCTAAGTGGAAATGGACCCAGATGTGGCATTAGCTCCCACACTACTAGTAAGAGCAGCTTGTTCAATTTCTTTAGAGAGGAACAATCCTTCCGCCATGACCTTTGGGTGAAGAAGTAAGGGGGTTTCCACTGTATCTCCCGCTTGTCCACCATCAAATCTACAGTTCTTAGTACTGAGCCCTTCCAGAATTCTTCAAGAAAAATCGCCCTGGACAACTGCCTGCAGAGTGTCTGTCTTCACAGCACCTTCCTCTGTGTACCTCACTTCATCTGCCCTCAGTCCTCCTCCTGCTTCCTGTAATCCACATATCACACCATCGTTTATCCTCTGCAGGCCTTCTTCACATTCTCTTCATTGTTGAAGTTTGTACCAATTTTCATTCCTTTGGTGTCATGCCATGAGGGCTCAAAAGAAAATAAATGTGTGTTCCAAGAAACCAAAAACAAAAATGACGATTCTAAAAGTTTCCAGAGAAGGTGTAGATCCCCTGAAAAAGAACAGGAGTTCTTAATATCAACAATGGATGCTGGCCAAGAGAATAACTGTTTCACTATTGAAAGACAAGAACCTTCACCCTAGAACTTTGACACTGATTAAACTATCTTTGAAATCTGGAGCAGTAATGACATCGCAGGACCTATAAACCTCTTTTAATAGTCTCTTGGAAGAAATACTCCAGTAAGAAGAGAAATAAATACAAGAGAACACTATAGGACTTGTGTGCATCGAGAATAAATAAGTAAACACTATATACATTTTAATCTTTTTCTAAAAAATGAAGGTTAAAAATGGAATAGAAAAGTAGACTTATGGATAAGTAGGCAACATGCATAAATGGGAGGATTCATACCTAGACACATTATAATGAATTTATAAAGTGTCAAAATTGGCAAAGAATACATTTAAAGCCTTGCATAGATAAATAACCATTATCAAAATTAAAATGGCAATCACTTTATGAGATGAATAAGTATGACCTGGATTCCAAACTGGATAAGAACAACACACACAAAAATTATAGTATCTACATACATAGATATTATTGTGTCTCACATATATAAGAAACTCTTACAAATCAACATGAAAAAGACTGGAAACCCAAAAGAAAAGTGAACAAAACATGGAATACACAATTTAGAAAATGGATACCAAGTATGAGATAAGATATGTATTTCTAGGAAGATCAGGAAATCAGAGAAATACAAATATTTAAACAGTGACTTACTACTTTATATACATCCAATACACAATGATTAGAAAGCTGAGTAATACCAAGTGATGAAGAAGATTCAAGGAAATAAGACTTATGCATGTATTTCTGGAGCAGCCTTAAACTGGCACCACATCTCTAGAAAGCAACCAGGAGGGTATTGAGTAAAAATTAAATATTCATATACTTTATGCCAGCAATCCCCCATGTTGGGTCTGTGCTCAGAGAGGCTCTTACAGAGGTCCATGGAGCACAAATATGAGAGTACTTGTCCTAGCATTAGAGACTATCATATGTGAGTCAGTGACTGGCAGCTGGAAGGGTGGGGAAGCGAGGAAGGGGGAAGAAGCAAAATAGGAGTGAAGGTCAGGGGTGAAAGGGAAAAACAAATAACCAAAATAAAACCAGAATGCAACCTTGCACAGCCTGTTAATGAACTGAGGAATGTGTTTAACTCAGCTCTCTGCATCTGTCATTCCACGAACCGAAAATCATTGCGTACAAGTAGCTATTTATCACCTGGTATCCTTTTGTGGGTCAAGCACTCTGGGTAGAAAAATAAATGAGCAACTGCCGCCAGGGTGCTTCACTTGCTTTGATCAAAGAGGTAAGCTGTGGAGTGGACATGACCTTCCAACACTCCCCCGCCCCTCATCCCTCCATTCATCTGGTCTAGTAGAAAACAAGAGAGAAGGCCTCACCCTCTATAAACAAACCCCTCCCTGGCCCTCAGTAATCTCCAGGCTTAGTGTTTCCCACCCAAATCTCATTTCCCTCCGCAGAACTCTTGTGGAGCAGGTTGCTCAACCCCTAAGCAATCCTGCCCACTTCACCTGGAGTCACATTGAAGCAGTGTTGACATTTGTCCCTTGTACTCCCCAAAGCGTCAATGCAGCCATCTCCTGGGTCTGGGGCTCTTGTGGAGAAGAAGGGCAAGATGGAGGTAAGATCCTGTGTCTTCTGGGGGGAAATAAATTATTTTTACAGCAATTACTTCTGCACCCTTCTAGATAATCAATCTGAACATCTGGGAAAAGAAACCCCACTTCCACAGATAAGGACCAGAATGGGTTTGTTGAAGCATCACAGAAATAGAGAGAAAGCAGCACCAAGATGAACTCTTAAGAGCTGGTAAAGTGACAAGAGACTGATTTTTTCCCCATGGGGATATTACTGGTATCTTTTTTCTTCCACGTATGCCTGCATCAGTCTTCTCTTTAGAACCAAACCTCAGTTTTTCTATTTTTTCTAGATTCCTATTCCATAGATCAGTGATGGCGAACCTTTTGAGCTCGGCATGTCAGCATTTTGAAAAACCCTAACTTAACTCTGGTGCCGTGTCACATATAGAAATTTTTTGATATTTGCAACCATAGTAAAGCAAAGACTTATATTTTTGATATTTATTTTATATATTTAAATGCCATTTATCAAAGAAAAATCAACCAAAAAAATGAGTTCACATGTCACCTCTGACACACGTGTCATAGGTTCGCCATCACTGCCATAGATCCTGCCTCAGCTGGTTCCCTGGTTCAGATACCACTGCACCCTCCTCCGCACCTCTTTCAACCCATCTGGCAAGGGGGTCTTCAATTTTGACTTCTCCAGACCTCACCAGACCACAAAATGGCCTTGAATCCTGTTCAGCTTGCTTTGTTTTCCTCAGACACCAAAGAGCTGGGCAGTCAGCTATCCTCATAAAGTTTACCCTGTGGACAAAGCGGCGTCCTGAGGCCTTATCAAGAAAAACTACAGAAATGAAAGTTATAGGCCCTGCCCTTAAAGGAATGTGTCTGTGGGTCACCTGTTAAACATAAGTCATTATTCTTGGCACTTTTATATAGTACACTTATAGTACATTTCTTTCTTTATCTTCACAATGACCTCAGCAGTTAAAGCCCCATTTTCTGTTTTCCAAATGAGTAAACGGAGCCTCTCAAACATGGAAGATGTGCCTCAAGTAACAGCTGGTACGTGACAAGACCAGCGCTTCTGACCCCAAGCCCAGGCACTTTTCATAATACCGTCGTTGCATTCAAAAGAACCTGTCCTGCTTGGAAATACAGAGCCCTTGGCCTTGAAATAGACTCAAAGTATTTTCAAAAGAGCATGTCAACAAGAACAAAGGCACAATTAAATGAACTCTGAGCTGGTATGTTCTGGTCTCTTCGTGGAAAGGAGGGGTTCAACAGCAAACACTTTCTAAAGGGAGACACCTTGGAAATCCAGTTGAAAGAACAGAGGGCGGTAGATTGTCCAGGAAGAGAAAATAAAGTTGGAACAAGCATCTTCTCTTGAGGTTACTCAGACATTCCTACTGTCATGGAATGAATTTTCTACTCTGTCTCCCAGAGAAAGAGGAGTCGTGATGAAACGTGGCAGGGTGGACTCAGGTTAGACGGCACGAAAAATGTTTCTGGCAATGAGGGAGTTAAATACCAAACTCTTTCATTAAAGGAAGTGGTGAAATGTAGATTTTTTTTCCCCCTCAGATGGTTTTAGCTTACTCCTGTTGGAGACAGAAGATGGAATACATGAGCTCTGGAAACCTCCTCTGAAAATGGCAGTTCTGCAGCTGTAAGATAACTTTATTGTGCACACATAAAAAAGGGTTCAGGGCAACCCGGATAATGACAAACTATTACTCAACCCCAGGCCCTCCCAGAGAGCTCCTGCAGAAGTTTTTCTCACCTTTCCTCCCTGGTTCCCATACTCCAACAAGCATGAACCAGAAAGGGCCTGAGTCACCAGGGCACGTGACTGAAAGTGCACAGGGGCCCCTCCACACTTGGCACGGCCACATGAAACCGAAGTCACCGTGCCCTGCAAGCTGAGGAGCACCAGGCAGTTACAGGTTTGTGTCAGAAATCATCCCGGGGCTTCCTTCCTGCCACTCGAGCTTTAGAGAAAATTCTTGTCCGTGATTCACTTCCAAGGCACAATGGCCTGGCTGTAAGACCACTTGCTGGCCCTGTAAGTTATCATGTTCACATCTGGGGTCTGCCAGAGACTGCTGACCCAGGATCCCCGAGGGAAATCCCAGCACCACTCCCTATGTTAGCCATCCTTCACTGATTTTTCACAGAAGAGGACGTTTGCAGTGGCTTCTTCCCTGCTCTCTGGCTGCTGTTCAGGTATGTGTCAGTCAGTTAGTCAGTTACATGAATAGTTGGGTAGTTAGTTGGTTAATTGGTTAGTCAGTCAGTCAGTTTTGCAAATAGCACCAGGGCAAAACACACCTCCGAGAAAACGATGTTGTTCATAGATCCATTAATGGTTTCACTGCCCCTGCGGGAAATCAGAAAAGGCCTTGAACAGGAAGTTCACACAAATAAACGTCTCTTCCTGCTGCAATGATTTCCATTCTCCCAGAAACTAAGTTTAGTCAGACCTTAGGAATCACCTAGCAACCTCATCGTCTTCCAGGAAAGGAAGCCCGAGCCCAGAGAGATGAAGCGACTCGCCCAGGGTCATACAGCTGGTCAGTGCCCTTCACCTGGGAGGGGACCAGCACACATCCACCGAAGGAGGGGGAAATAGGCCATTTCCTTTTTGTGTTTCAAGTAATGGGGTTTGTCTAAGATTGACAAGTATAGTTTTAGACATTTCTCCCTCCTGTCTGTGTCCCAATCACCAACATCACCACACACACGCACACACACACATGTGAATGTCTGCTCTACTGCTTCTAAGAACTCACTAAGACTTTGATTTCCATCAAAATATTTTAAATTTATAGGCACCATCAATTCCTTTAGCAGAACTGGGACTGGCTTCCTGACCCACAGGAGGTGACTATCCGTAAGCTCAGGCTGCATGGCAAATACAGGTATGTTTCCATCCAGGTTTGTCATCTACTTTTCCCCCCATTCTTCCCTCCCAATTCCCAGAACCCACCTCTTCAACACCAAAATGGATCAGACAATTATAAAAAATGTGGATGGTTGAAAGAGTTGGGGTTTTCAAATTAAAAGGCCAAGATTTGCATTAGTGTCATGGCCTCACTCAAGACATTTAATGATTGGCATCTTTAAATTGGGGACAGTAATGCCATGGTACCATGAGAACAAAATTAGATCATATTTTGGGAAAGCCCTTTTGGAATTGTTGAGAGGAAATGTAAGGGATGTTCATGACTGCCTCCAAGCTGCCCTATGCTTGACCATGTAGTAGAGTTCACAGCCCAAAGGAAGGGTGTTGGCAGCTGGGCTGGGCCAGAGGCAGGGCTAGAGGTTAGAAATGTGGTGTTCTCCACCTGTGTACACAGGAAAGAGCCTCTTCCCACAGTCCTCAGAGGGGCCACGGCTAGGGCACTCTGTGGCTAGGGCCAGCTGTGAGTACCATCCCAGAATGCACTGCTACGGTTGGTCCAGGTCAGCCCCCAAAGCTGCCTTTTTTCTTCTTCTTTTTTTTTCTTTCTTTCTTTTTTTTTCTGTTTTTGGTTCTCATGGTTTCTGGAGCATTTTAAAGAGGCTTATCACTACTGGCCTGGCAGACAGACAACTTGCTTTAGGGCAACAACTCATTTTTTTCCCCAGTCTGAGCTCGTACAAGTAGAGAATATTGGGGATGTGAACACCTAGAGTAATTCACTATTACCCCATGTCTTTCAAGCACTGTTTTCCCTTCCCAGTCCAATAGCTTTAGCAGTCTTGACAAACAATGATTAATCTCCTATCTGACTAAGATGAATGCCTGACCTTCCTTCTCCAACTCAAAAGACTTTGTTCCTTCCAGAAAGAGTATCCTCTTTTACTCAAGGTAACCAGCCTCGCCAACTATTTCATCACTTCTTCCCGAGCCCTCCTCCTTGGGTAAGCACGGCTGCCTCTATCCAGCAGCACCTTCCACTTCTCTCCACAGATGTTTTTTCCTCTGTCTATGAGCACGTGGAGACTTCTAATCATTTGGAAAATGTTCCTTAACATTTGTTTCACTATTTACAATCCTATTTTTATGTTCTTTCCCTTGTCACACTTCTTAAATCAGTATCTATACAAGCAGTCTCTTTTCCTGAAAACAGTGTTTTTCACCACCTCATTCTTTCTAGAAACTTTACTTCCAAAGGTCATCAAGGAAATGTCTAAAGATCAATGACTAGTTTTCTCTGCTCATTCTTCCTCTCCAGCATTCGTGTTTCAGTGGAGTTGGCTCTTCCACGGTATCTGTGGCAGCACACACCCTCATATGTCTGTTTTTCTGCCTGCTCCCATGTCCTCTTTGTCAACTCTTTTCTGTGTTCTTAATGTAGACATTTGTCAAGATTCAGTTCCTGGGGACTCTGCTCTTCTATTTATTTTCTTTCCCTTGTTAATTTCATTTTGAAAATGTATCCAACATCTATATCTCTATATATGACTACTCCTACCCCAAAATGCCTATTAGATGTTGTCTTCCTCAGGGTCTTCATGGTGATTTGATATATCTAAAATTAAATGCATCATCTCTCTGGCTTCTGCATTTCTGTTAGCAATTCAACTTCTCTCTTTACTAGTCACTTAGGGGCTAGACTTAAAAACCATTACTAATCCCTCTACTTCTCTCATCCCCATATGTTGTCAACCACCAAGTCTAGTCAGTTCTTTCTAAAACCTTTTCAATCTCCTTTCCTTCTTACTCATTTTATCCCTATTGACTTAATGCTCATGAGTTCAGATAATTTATTCTTTTAATCATTCATTTAACAAATGTGTATTGAGTGCCTATTCTGCACCAGGCTTTGTGTTAGAGCTAGGTAAGCAAAAACAGATTCAGACTGCCTGTCTTCCAGCAATAGACTTTATAAAGTATATAAGGTGCCCAAGATAATACTAATGAGTATACTAGTATAACTACAAATTGAAATGAGTATTCCGAAAAAGAACACACTTCGGGTTGAAGCAATAAGTATAAGTATAGAAGTTGACTAGAAAAATGGACATGGCATGCTGATAGAAGAAAGAAAGTTACTGACAAAATAATTTATTCAAAGACTCTTGGTTAGAAGAAACATAGTAAGTTCAAGAAACTGAGAACTCAGTGAGGCTGGAGCTGAGAGGGCAAGGGGTAAAATGAGGCTAGAGAAGAAAGAAGGGAAAGACATGTCAAGCCGGGTCAACCAGGGTAAGTTATTTGCTTGGACTCCATCCTAAGATTGATTGGGAGCAAATAAAGAATTTACTACTAGTCACTTTAACACAGCAGTGGTCTCCTGCCTGAGATCCTGGATTGCCCTACTCCAGTCTGTGCTGCATGTCATCACAAGAGTTTTCATAAGATAATCTTCCAACCTATCTAGTTTTACTTCCCAAGACCAGCTTACAAAACTTGTACATTACAGCCAACTGGTCTACTTTTTGACTCTGTGCTTTCCTGACTCTGTGCTTTTGTTCACCTCCCTCATCCCTGCTTTAATTACCATCTATTATTCCTCTCTACCTCATGACTACCCACCACTGAAGGGATCATTTAAATACATTGTTTTCTGGAAACCAGAAATATCCTGATCATCCTAACTTATAATGGCTCTCCATGTGCTCAGCAACCATGATACTTGCCACTTACACATTACAATAGCCTGGGCTTTAGAGCTAGAAAGTCTTGGTTTAGAACACATCAGTTAATTCTCAAAGCCTCAGATATCTATAAATGGATAAAACCTTTGTATGTATAGGGTTATTGGGAAGTTAAATTCGAGTACATTTATAAAGTATCTAAAAGAGTAATTGTCACATAGAAAACACTGAATACTTATTATTCACTGTTAGCTTAACATATTTTTCTTGGTAGTAATGTTGGCAAGAGTATGATTCTATGAACACTCATATGCTGCTGGAAAGAGTATAAATTACTACTAATATTCAGAGAAAACTATTTGGCAGATTAAGCAAAAAAATGTCCATAATTTTTTGCGTTGTAATTATACTTCTAGGTATCTATCAGAAACCAAACAGGAATGTAATAAAAATTTGTGTTCAGAGATGTTATTTGTTGCATTGTTTACAATAGAAATACACACACATAAACATCCAAAATAAGGGAATGAGTCAATAAAGTGTAAATTATAATTTATCTGTGAGATGGATAGACTTCCACATAGTCATTCATTTACAATGATGTTTATAAAGAATTTTTAAAGCTTTTAGAAAATAACTGCGATGTAGGATTAAGTGGCAATATAGGGTATTGATGTGTTTTATATTGTTACCCAGCTATGGAAATGTACACAGGGGTCCTCATTATCCACATATTTATTATCTAAGTCTCCAGAGTTGCAAAATTTAATGAGTTGAGAGGGAGTTTAGAGAGCTGCACAAATTACATTCAAGGCCTCTAGAAAATAAGGATCTGGAGAGTTAGATCAATAAAAAATTGAAGAGAAAGTTAACGTGGATGACAAGATGGGCCATACAAAAGAGAATGATCTGACTAGTAACGTATTCTGAGAGGCTATTGAGGAAATTGATGAGCTCTTCAAACGTTTTTACAAAACTGGACTGCTTTATGATTCTGTTACAAAGTAATCCAGTGTGAAGTGATGTAGTATTAAACTACATTTTTTAAGTACCTCCTGACCCCTTTTCCCATCATTTTGATTGATATTTTCTTTTAAGAATTGGTGTATAATTGCAAGTATAACCTAAATTGTATTTAAAAGGCTTATAAAAAAATTATTTATGTATTTTATTACATTATCAAGATTAAAATTAATCTTTTAAAAGACTGTTAAAAGGCAAACTGAGGCATATTAAAATTTTTAAGAGTGTATTTGAGCTACAATTGATTCGAGTCAAGCAGCGCCAAACTTGAAGTAGTCGGAAGCACCCCAGGGATAGGAGTCAGGGGAAAGACTTCTATAGATAGAAGCTACAGAAGCAAAGCAAGGAAATTATTTAATTGGCTATAGCTTAAAGCCTAGTTGACTGTCTGTGATTAGCTGTCCTTAGTGTTTTGATTTCTAACCTTGAGGCATTTATAGGCTTAGATTTTGGTTTGCTTTCGTAGGCTGCCATGGTATTAGAGCCACCTCAGTCTCATGGCCTCCTTGTTTAGTTAATTTAACACCACTTATGAACTTTGATTCCCATTTTCATTAATTAACTTTAGATAATTCTTGGTTAACAAAGATTTCCTGATTATTATGCATAGAAAATTAAATGTAGAAAGGTAATGTCCAATAGAAACATAATGTGGCTCAGTTGTGTAATTTATGTGAAATTAATTGAATAATATGTTGTATTTAACACAATTATCCAAAATATAATCATCTCAAGATGCAATCAATATAAAAATTATCAATGGGATTTTTTTTATTAAATCTCCAAAATCCAAGTGTATATTTGACACAGAGTAGATCTCGATTTGAGCTAACCACATTTTAAGCATTATATAGCTCAGGTCTAGAAGAAAATGTATCAAAGTGTTTTTCAAAATATACACAAAATGGTTATGTATAAATAGTAGAGGGATTTGATGTGAGAAATTGCTTTCATAATTTAAACTTTTTTAACTTTGGCACTTAAGTATCCCATATTTTTAGCTTTCTTTTTTCACTTATTAAGGGTAATATTTTTCTATATCTCTCACTTATGGCTTAGGTATTTAAATAATACATTTTTTTCCTACTTCTCATGATGTCCTTTGCTAGTTGCATTTCATTTCCTGCTTTAGCTTTTCTGATTTTCTCAGCAAATTATTTCCACTTTTTCCATCCTTTTCACAGGTAGCCTGGTGAACTTCCACTTCTGAGATCATTTTAAAGGAACCTGGCCCAGCCAAGTTAATTTCTTTCTATCCTTCCCTGCTTTCTCATGGATCAAGATCATTTTTTCTTGTTATTATGAAACAAGTAATTTTCTTAGACTTCTTTGTCTAAAAAAAAATAAAAAATAAAAAACACACAAAAAAAACCTTCCCAGGGAATTCTTTGAGTTATTGGAATTCACTTAGTTGATTTTCATTCTTTTTCTCCTACAAGTTCCTCTTTTTTTGTCCTTTAGAATCATACATTTTAGAACATATAAATATATTGTCACTTTCAATCGAGTTGCTAAATTTAAACTCTTAAATATTTACTCCCTGAATATAAGTATCACATCACAAGTTCTGTTTTCAACCCAGTGATTTGATTTCTCCACCATTTGGCCATAAAGGGCTATTTCTCCTAAATGAGCTGGAGAACTTACTTTGCATCACTTCCATGTTGTTTCCTTTCAAAGAGGATATACACTGAAATTGTTAGGCTTCTCTTTTGCATTCTGTATTTGAAAAGCTTTGGGTAACTTGTTCAAAGAAAATATGGAGCTTGGTCAAGAGACTGTGTACCATTTTCTTGAGGCTTCCTAATGTCCGTAAGTCACTGAGAAAAGAATTGTTAATATATGTATGAGCTAAATAATTTTGAAATTGTTGCTGTATATTATTAGGCAACTGGTACTCATTACTGTTAAGACATTTGTACATTCAGAAAGCAGAAGAGTTCATTTAAATAATATAGAGTTGAACAGAAAGGAAAAAAGTAATAGAGGTGGTTGTGGGTGGGTACTCAAGTAGTAGCTGATTGAATACTAACAGCTTCCCAAAGTGATCCAGACACTAATGTACAGATGCTGAAATCTAACTCCCTGAACATCTGCTCAAGAACCCTCACAGGCCACCCACAGAAAACAACAGGGTTGTTTTCTTCTCTCCCCAGGGATGGGAGTGGAGGACTATGGATAATAGCTTCTTAATGCAGGAAGTGAAAAATAAAATAGAATAAACAGTTGGATTTGGGGTGGAATCAATTAATGATAATTTACATTTGATATGCATTGTGGGTAGAAGTGATGAAAAACAGATCAAGTGAGATTTATTTGGGGGAGGCTCGTTATTTGTTTATATTCCGCCCTTCTCTGTGTAGGACAGCAGAGACTAGAAGGTACTCTCAAATGGTAGCAGTCTATATACACGAATGTATAGAAGGAGGTAAGAAAGAAAAGAAAAAAGGGGGTGGGGAGGAAGGGAGGCACAAAGGGAGGAACTTCAGTGAAGTGTATTTCATTTGTAGAATAGGTTTCCTGGAAGGTGGGAGGGAGACAAAATATTGGTGACCATTTGATTAAATTAAAAAAACATTTATTGAGTACTTGCTCTGTGCTAAATTGTGCTAGGTGCTAAGGAGTATCACAAGATAACCAGCGAGTTAGATCTCTGCACAAGGCAGAACCATGTGCTCCCTCCCACCACCACATGCCCACAGAGGTTGGTCCAGTTTTTAACCCCATCACAAGCTAGGAATCCAAACAAGGATGGAGCCCAAACCAATTCCAGGACCCCTCTGAGCAAGACCAAGTTGGAGGAGCCTCAGGCAGTAGGAATGATTTCAAAATTTATCTGGGGCTGGCAGAGCTGCCCTTAATCTTGAGTTATTGACAGCTCATCTATAAGAGGTCTCTGGCCATTTCCAGGATTCCCTCTGTCCTCTCATTAACTTCTCAATAGGCTCTATTGGGGCTCCTAGGAATGACGCAAACCAGAACAGATGTTTAAGAATGTATAAAGCGTCATGTAGGTGGGTCACTTTAGCAAGTCATTCTCTTTTCCCCAAGAGAGAACAGTAGTGCTGTGGGTTCAGGGAAACCCTAGTATCTGGGGCTGAAGACAGGAGAAGAAAGGGGGTCAGGAGAAAGCCCAGAGAAACAGGATTGAGGAGCCAGTTACTAGTTGCATGCTACTGAAGGAATTGTTCAACCTTTCCTGTCTCTTGTTTTCTCAGCCTTCAAATGATGGTAACATGATGTATGTCATGGGGTCACACTGATGAATCAATGAGATAAGATACCTGAACATTCTGGAAATGTCTAACACAGATATCTTATATAATAAAGGGTTAATATGCAAATTGACTAAACAGTGGAACAACCGGTTGCTGTGACGCACACTGACCACCAGGAGCAGACGTTCAACACAGGAGCTGCTACCTGGTGGTCAGTGCGCTCCCACAGGGGGAGCACCACTCAGCCACAAACCGGGCTGATGCTGGCAAGCACAGCAGTAGTGGTGGGAGCCTCTCCCGCCTCCATGGCAGCACTAAGGATGTCCATCTGTGGCTTAGGCCCTCTCCCCATGGTTGGATATCCCCAAGGGCTCCCAGACTGCTAAAGGGTGCAGGCCAGACTGAGGGACCCCCTGTCCCCCCTGTGCACGAATGTTGTGCACTGGGCCTCTAGTTTATTAATATTTATGAAATTATAAAACACTAGAGGCCCAGTGCACAAAATTCATGCACAGGGGGAGGGTCCCCTCAGCCCGGCCTGCACCTTCTCGCAATCCGGGACCCCTCAGGTGATGTCCGACTGCCAGTTTAGGCCCGACCCTGCAGGGATTCCTGTGGGATCAGGTCTAAACCAGCAGTCAGACATCCCTCTCTCAATCTGGGACCGCTGGTTCCTAACCGCTCGCCTGCCTGTCTGCCTCATTCCCCCTAACCCACTCTGCCTTGCCTGCCTGATCACCCCTAACCACTCTGCCTGCCTGCCTCATCACCCCTAACTGCTCACCTGCCTGCCTCATCGCCCCTAACCACTCTGCTTGCCTGCCTGGTCGCCCCCTAATCACTCGTCTGCCTGCCGGATCACCCCTAACTGCCTCTGCCTCAGCCCCCGCCTCAGCGGCTTTGGCCAGAAGGACGTCCAGAATGATGTCTGGAAGGTCATTCAGCTGTCCGGTCTAATTAGCATATTACTCTTTTATTATTATAGATATCTAGATAGGTGAGACAATAGATTTCTTAGACAGCTAGAGAGTAAGTATAAGAGACTAGCTTTCTCCTAAGACAGCCTCTGGAGATAGAAAAGGAAACATCCAGGCCAATGGTAGAAATTACCCACATAATTAAATTCTGATTTTTAACTGGAGAACCTGGGATTGTATTTTTTATAATTGCACTGAGCCTAAACTCTACATGCTGTCAGTGATAGAATCATAACCAAAGAACATCAGAAGGCAGACTGAAATTTGCTCTTGTCAAGGGCCTTAGAGGCTGGGGAGTGTTGTGTTCCAGAAGCCATTCAAACACAGAGGGAGGAGCTGGCCGCTTGCAGCCATCTGGCTGCCGTTCTACCACACCCTCCTCTCCATCCTGTCTGAGACTGCACTCTGGGGCCTGCCTGAAGCTGAACCAGATTCCACATAAGTGGGCGTGCAAAGTGCCTTTCCCTGGACAATCACCCAGGGAGACTCAGTGTTTCTTCTTGGGTCTCAGTCCTGGGTTTCTTTTCCCTCGACTTTGTTAATTTTGTAACTTAGCTTTTTGCATCTTTTCAGACCATCTAATAAAGCTGTGAGGAAACAAAGGCCGAATTGAAAAGCAGGGCTAGAGAATTGAGCTAAATTAAAAATGGTCATTTCGTTCTCATCCCAGTAAATCCTAGAACTACCAGCTTATTCTCCCTTACATCTGTTTCCTCCTGTCAGCTAAATGCCAACAAGAACACATCGTCTCAAAAACGTTACCTTCTATTTTGCAGATAGTTGCAGAATTCCAGGACACTATAAGAATTTTGAGCAACTAAAGCAAGAACCATTAATAAGCAAACTGTCATTAGCTTTGGACAATTAATCCAGGTCAAAAATAAAATTATAATATTTAATATTTAAATAGCAGGTTAAAGTTTACAGAATGTTTTATGCCCATTTCCTCATTTGATAGTTCAACTCCCAAGAGGACTCCAAATGATTCTACCCTCTGGTGTTCATGCCCTTTGGAAGCCACTCCCACATTGAATAGGGCTGACAGGTACAGCCAATAGAATATTGCAGAAATGATGGAGTGTGACCTCCATGTGACCCATGTTGCAGCTTTCACCTTACTCTACTCATGGGTCACTCTCTCTAGGAAAAGCCAGCTACCATCGGTGAAGACACTCAACAGCTGTGATGGTTAATTTCATGTTAACTTGACAAGGCTCTGTGGGATGCCCACATAGCTGGTAAAACATTCCTTCTGGGTATGCCTGTAAGAGTGTCTCTGGAATAGATAAGCATTTGAATCGATAGACTGCATAGAGAAGATCGCCCTTACCAACACAGGTGGACATCATCCAACTCACTGAGGGTCCGAAAAGAACAAAAAGGTAGAGGAAAGGCAAATCTGCTCTCTCTGCTTGAGCTGAGGCATCTATCTTCTCCTGCCTTTGGACATTGGCATTCTTGGTTTCGGGACTTTGGGGTTTAAACTGGCACTTACACACACCACTAACCTTTAGATTCTTAAGGCTTCAGACTCTAAATTATACCAGCAGCTACCCTGATTCTCCAGCTTGCAGACAGCAGACCAGGGAATTACCTCGGGCTTCATAACTGCATGAGTCAATTCCTGTAATAAAATCAATATATCTGTGTGTCTCCATATATTCTATTTGTCTGCATAACACTGACTAATTTAGCAGCCCACACAATGAGGAATGGAGATCTCCTGACAACAGCCAGTAGCAACTTAGAAGTGGATCCTACAGTCCCTATCAAGAATTCAGATCATTGCAGCTTCTCCCAACATCTTTATTTAAATGACAGGTTTCTTGAAATATAGTTCATTTCATGTATCATGCAATCCACCCATTAAAGTGTACAATTTTAGTATATTCACATATATGTGTAACCATCACCACAGTCTTTTAGAACATTTTCATCACCTCAAAAGAAATCCCGTATCTCTTAGTTATCTCCCTATTGTCCCATAATCCCCAACCCTGAGCAACTACTAATCTACTTTCAGTTTCTATCGATTTGCCTCTTCTGGACATTTTATTTAAATATAATCATATAATATATGGTCTTTGGGGACTGGCTTCCTTCACCTAGCATAATGTTTTCAAAGTGTATTTATGTTGTGGCATATACCAGTACTTTA